GGCTCAGGCACTGGCTGTGATCAGCTGCTGATGAAAAGGGGTGAAAACATTTGGAAAGGAGAAAGATTTGCTGTTTGAGACAACTTTTTCATAAGTAAGTAACACTCAGCAGTTAATGTGTAAAGGGGGAGTGGGTAGCCGGCATGCACAGTAGCCAGCCTTCGGTGTGGTCACTACTGGGGTAGTCACACCCACTGTCTGGAAGGCAGCCAGCCTTCGATAGGACTCCATAGGACTACCACACAGGACACATGAGGAGCAATGAGCCACGAAAAGGTAGGGAACGTATCCAGCGTGTAAAGTACTCTGGAGTCAGATGATGGGGTTCAAATCCCAGCTCTGCAGGCTGAGCAGTCTCCTCAGCTCTCCAAGCCTGCATTTTCTCCTCTGGAAAGTGAGAATGACAAGGATGGCCAGATGGGATAAGATGACTGATTACCTAGAAAGGTGTCTGGCATATAGTATGTGCTCAATAAACGTTACTACTTACTATGTATTATAGTATTATGTGTTATGTAATACAATTACTATGAGTCATCTTTGCATTCCCATTACCTAACACAGGGCCAGCAAGGCATATGATGTGCTGTTAACAAATGTGTCTTGATGCACTAACAAAGAGAGAGAAATGCAGGAAACAAGGTAGACGCTGAAATGTGTAATATGTGAATCATCGTTAAAGATGCAGCTCAGCTCCAGCTAGTGTCAAAAACAAGGAAGCATTATTAGCAGATAAGGAAGCAGGGTCTTTGTGCTGTTCTATCATGAAAGATGGTGACGCTGTTAACTTAAAGGATGGTTGGGCTGAAGACAAGCTTGAGACTGTCATTCCATCTAAGCACTGAGGAAGGTTTGTGGTTCCCAGTTTAGAAAAGCAAGACATACTCAGTTCACACTTCCGTGTGAAAACCAAGGAAATAATGTTTTACTGGTAGGTGGTAATGGGAAAATAAACAAGGAAACCTAAGTTTAAGTAAACACATAATTGCAGATGATAAAAGGTATCTAAATATTGTTCCTGGTCATGGATCTCTAATACTTTCCTTTTACATTTGGTCCTAGATTCTAGTCTTTAGCTCTAATGCGGACAAAGAATAGGAAAGACTGAGAGAAACTCAAGTCAGTGTTTCGAGAAGGAAGCACAGAGAATGAAGGACAGTGGTTGGCCTCATGCTGGGGCACTGGAAGTGAGTGGAATTTGGTGAGAGAAATCGGTGAAGATTTTCAAGAAGAGATGAGGAAAGCTGAAAAGAGATGTTGTCATCCCTCCCACCTCATCATGCCACCAACTGGGCTCCTTGCCTTCACTCACACCTTGACTCAGTCTCCCTCCTTTCTCTGTCTCATTTCTAGCCTACCAGTGAAGCTGAAGACCTTCCCACCTGAAACTTCCGTGCTGCCCTCCTTAGTACCTTTGACTTCCTTCATGGCTACTATCCCAATCAGTCACACCAGTCCTCAGTTCTGGGTCTTCCTCTACTCTTGTCTTCCATCTTCCCTAATAATTGCCCCTGGCCCTCAGAATACAGACAAAACATGAAGCTGAGTGGTGCTAAGTTGGGTTCATTTCATTTTCATGCAATTCATCTCAACCACAGGACTATAAGCTCTCTGAAGACCAGTACCATGTCCTGATGACTCCTGTATACTGAGCATCTAGCACAGTGCCTGGAAAACAGCGGGCTCAATATGTTCTCTTTGTGCCTTATTGAAGCTGGCTTTTTCTTCTGTTTGGTAATGCTTTGATCACCTCTTGTGGATCCCTTCCCAGTACTCCTCAGTAATCTACTCTTTCCCTTACTCTCTCTTCTCTTTTTTACATCCTTCCTCCCTCTATTCCTCTCTTCTTTCTTTCTAAAATGCACTCAAAGGAAAAGTTCATATTGTCCATTTCATACAAACCTGACATATCTCTTCTTTCCTCTTCATGCTATAATTATTCCATATACCAATTCTAGATAGTTTTTCCCCCTTTAAATTTTAGTCTTGGATTCTCACCCTTCTTCACTGTGTTCACAGTCATCATAACTGAAATGACTCCCCTATTTTCTTCCTGTCTAGGATCAGTCTCTTCTCCTTTTACTTCATCCTTTAATATGCCACCAAAATAACTTCTTTTATAGAAGGCTTTTATTATTTCAGTCTCCTATTCAAGAACCTAAAGTTGTTTTTCTATTTCATTCAACATGTTTAAGCTCTGCTAGTAGGCTGGAAAGTGGCTCTGCAAACCAATTCTTCCAAACAGAACTGTTTATGAAAAAGAAGGAAATGGAATAATGCAAATTGGAAGAAGCAAAATTAACTCAGGAACGTTGTTGTTTTGTTGTTTTAAGACAGGAAATGTGTGCATGTTGAAGACGGGGGAACTGACAATGCATGTTAAAGCAAGATGCTGAAAAAAATAAATGTGGTCATTAATGAAGATTTCTCTAAAACAATGTAGAAGGAAGGGAGGAAGTTTAGTTTTGAAATTTCAGTATTCCCAGTGAAGTAGTAAGCAAGGCCATCTGCCAATAATGAGCTGAGAAGAGATGAGGACTTTAGAAGGGCTGAGGGAGTTGGGATACTTGCTCATTCACTCACTCATTCATTCCACAGACGTATTGGCCACCTACTGTTACATGTGAATGAACACTCCTAGGTATTTCCCCACTTTTCTCCCAAGGCTTCAGCATCTGCTTACATAAGCCCAACCACAGAAACACAGACATATCCCCACTCAGTTCTGATCTTGTTTGGCTCATTGTTCTAGTCTGCTGGGATCTTCTTGAATCCCAACTCTGTCATCTGATGGCATCTCTTCCAACTTCATGTCATCCTCTGGGAATCTGACAAGTACATGTTCTATATTTTTATTACAAACATTGATAAAAATGTGAAGTTGGGTAGTGCTAAGACACACAGAATACCATGTGAAATCTCCCTCCCTATGTACACGGACTCTTTAACAAGCCCCATTTTGGTGATATTCTGTTGCCTAGGCTGTCTCTCTCCACCTCTTTCAATAGGGGAACATAAAACGATCTTGCCAACTGCTTTGCAAAAGTCCAAATGCACCATGCCCACTTCATTTCCCTCATCAAGCTGGCAAATAAATGAATAATGCTGGCAAATGGAAGAATATCATTGGATCGGCAAGATTTGCTTTTAGCACACCAATGCCAAATGGTCATGATTTCTCTTTCCCAGTGCTTATAAACAACTCCCTTAACTGACAGCTACACGCACTTACCTAGGACCAACAGCAATCTCACTGCTACACATCTTGGAATTTTTTTTTTCTCTTTCTATAAAGCAGAATTATATATGTCTGTTTCTAAGCTCTGGCATCTTGAGTCCCTTGATTCTGCAGGGATCATCTCCCTTAGTTGAGAGACCAAATTTGCAAATTTTCTGTGTCACTTTAAAAAAAAATCATATCCTTTCATAAAACCCTATAGGGATGCATGAAACACTGGTGATATTTAGGATGTGTATGACACAGGCTGTGAAGTAGACCAGAGTAGAAGCCTCTGGAGACTACGGTCAATGTTAGGTTGTGTCTCTTTAGATGGATTTGGTATACTGCTGCCTGGACACGTAAGTGTGGTTTTGAATAGTAATGACTTGAAGGTCTGTCAACCAGAGATTTCTGAAAAATTAGCTTCTAAGTAACTTTTCTTCTCTCCTTCTGCCCATATTGCTTATCCCTGCCATCAGCACCTTCAGAGTACTAAAGTGCAAAATCTACTAACAATTGAGATAGGACTTACCCACTTGCCCAAGCCTGGATAGTCATGTTCCGGATCAAACAGATGCTGATGCAACTGGAACTCTCGACTGAACTCTGCGGTGTCGGGGGTGTTTTCTAGACATCCATCATCTACTGCAAACAGCCAAAGGTTTTTGAGGAACAGCCAAGACATTTATCATTACTCTAAGAGTTAATTCACCAAAACAACTAGCATCCACAGGTCAGAATCTGTTCACAGCAGTAGTTAACTTAGAACACCAGAAGCCACCTTCCCTCTAGGATCCAGTTGGATAGGACTGCTCATCTCAAACTCCCACTCCTGTGCAGGGACTCACTGGCTGTTCACCAAACCCACTTCCCTTTCCTCCTCGGCTCCCAGCTAGACGAATTTCCCAGCCTTGCTTTGCAATCACGTGGAGTCATTTGCCTGAGTTGAGGCCAGTAGAATGTGGGCACAAGTGATGTATTCCATTCCCAGGCCTGGAAGTGAAATACATCACCGAAAAGCATAAAAACCTCTCATACCATGCTCCACTTCTCCTCATCCCCCATCCCCATCTCCTGGTCAGCCTGTTACATGTTGCCAGGGCGACTGTGGGTGTCAAGTGTAAACATGGCAGTCTGGGGTGCTGAACCATCCACCGCACCACAGCCTCACTCACCTCTGGCAGGACTTCACACGGGTGAAAAATAAACTTCTATTGCATTGAGCCGTAAAATTTTTTTATCTGTTACGACAGCAAGTGTTTCCTTAAGTAACATACTTCTATTGCACATGACCCACTCTGTTTTCTCTTGAGCAAGTGGTTTAGAAAGTACTTTGGCTTCCTGGAGAAGGCACATTACACAGCAACAACAATCTCCACACAGTACTTCATCACTCGCTGTTGTGTTTTATTGTGATACTAACTTCAGCTTTGCAGTCAGACAAGAACAGAGCTCACGGATCAAATCCCAGCTCCTAACATACAGATAGGCTTAGTTCCTTTGGAAAGTTAACTTGGTCTCTCCAAGTTCATTCATGGATTTGTGAGATGCAAATAATCAAATACTTACCTACAGGATTGCTGTGAGGAATAGAGATGATTACATTTAGAGCACCCGGCACATAACAGGTTTGCAATATGCTTTAGTTCCCTTCCCATCATCTCCCTTTAACTGACAGTTTATACTACGACTGCCCTTTGAAATCAAGCAAGTTTTCCATTCAAACCAAAGAAAGAAGGTTATGTCTCTCAGATGCTGCTTTTTTTTGGGGCGGGGGGGGAGGGTTTTAGTATTTTAATACAGTTGAAATCAGTGTGTCTGGCTCATTTCATTTCCTTCACTGCCAAAGCAGGGGGCAGGGACTGCTTCAGTTTCTCTGCCTTCTCTTTGTCAGTGATGACCAGGGTGTAAAGGTATCTGCTGCATTGAACTTTAAACTTCACATTGTCCTTATTTTTCTTGATCTTGACAGATTTGGCATCCTTTCGTCGGGCTGTGAGCAGAAAGTCCTTGATTTCCTCAATTTTCCGAGGCATGGCGATGAGGCGCGCTGGGAGCTGGTGCGGACCGGGACCTGAGGTCCCCAGATTTCACCCGGCCGTAGATTGCCCCAGATTACCCTCCAGATGCTGCTTTTATGTAAATTTTATCATTGTTAGGCATGATGCTCTAAAAATGAGTCATTTTTCCCATGGCTAATGTATTTTAGACAACAGCAATAAAAAGGGGGACAGAGAAGGGATTGTGAATTGTGTGCAGGGTTAGGAGGAGGAAGGAGGGTCTCATTTTAAAGACATAATGAGACATCAAGGCAGTGCTGAAAGGGGGTATTTACAATTAGCCAGGATGTCTAGCTCTTGACACTGCTCTTAAGCCGCTCTCAGCAGCTTTCAGCACACAGTCTCTCAGCTCTTAGCAGCACGCAGCTAGTGTGGAAGTCATCAGCATTCTGAACAAACCCCTGTCGCGGCTCTCCACTTCTCCATGAGCTATTTATCTAACTTATACAATATATAGCAATTATCGTGTAGGAAAATATACCAATTCAAGAGAGTTCAGGCAATCTGCATACGGCACCTTCACAACCTTTCATAATTGTTTCTGGTGTACCTCTGGGTGGGCACTGACTGAGATGCAGATAAAGCCTGCTCTGGGAACCGAAGGTGTCTCCGGGCCTGAAAATGTGCCTTAAGTTCACATCCTATCTCTGAAGCTGAGACGGACTCTTTGAGCTCTGCTGCTCTGTCCAGGGTGAGTGGGCCACGATTCAGAGGGGAGCATGGCATGAAAGGAGAAGTCAAGGTTTTATTCTTGGATTGCTCAACTGTGCTCTGCTGTATCATGATTCAAGCAATTCCTCACAAATAATGGCTAAATTTAGCAAGCGATTTCATTCTTGGAATGCAGATTGTGCAGAACAAAGAGTGAGGGAATATGTTAGTTTCATGGAAGGATAGCAAAGGAAATGGCAGACAACCTGTGACAAGAAAGTGTCTGGGTTTGGGATTTTGTCCAATTCTACTGGGCCAGCTTGCTCTCCTCTCAGAGCTCCTAAGTGCACAGACTAGAGCGTGATTCCATAGGTCTGTATGGTTTTGTGTTTTTATTGCTTTTGTTTTCAGACAAGCTAGAACTACCCTGTATGCTCTTTGAAGGCACTGTCTATGTCTTCCCTCCACAGGTGAAGAGATTAAGGCTTAAGAAAGTGAAAGTGGCAAACTACAGTCAACACTAGAGCTCAGATCTCTTGGTTCAAACTCTGGACCTCTTTCCATTCTCCTATAATAGTCTCCAACTTCAGTGTGCACTAGAACCATGAGGAGGACTGGTTACACACAACGAATTCCTGGGTCCCACCCCCAGAATTTTCTGATTCAATAGGTCGAATCAGAGTAGGGCCTGAGAAGTTGCATTTTTAGCAAGTTTCCAGGTGCTGATGCTGGTGGTGGTGGTCCTGGGATTTAAGAACCACTGCACTATACCCACATCCAATGGATTTCACAATGGAGACTGTCGCTTTCTAAACTCTGATCTAGTCTTTCTTCCTATCCATCCAAAACCCTACAAGCAAGTAAAAGGTGGCTGAAATGATTAGAGCCAGGCAGTGATTCAGGTTTTCCTGCCTTCCTGGCCCAGCAGCCACACATTGGCTTGGTCACATCCAACGACTTTGGTTGTTCTGCCTCAAGATGCAAGCTTTGTGCTCCATGGAAAACAGAGGCCTCACCCGAAACGAAAGGAGGAGCATCTTTTTTTAAGACAGTCTCTTTAAGAGACAGCCTGCATTGTGTTTAAGAAAAGGCGAGGTCAGGCCGGGCGCGGTGGCTCAAGCCTGTAATCCCAGCACTTTGGGAGGCCGAGACGGGTGGATCACAAGGTCAGGAGATCGAGACCATCCTGGCTAACACGGTGAAACCCCGTCTCTACTAAAAAAATACAAAAAACTAGCCGGGCGCCGTGGCGGGCGCCTGTAGTCCCAGCTACTCGGGAGGCTGAGGCAGGAGAATGGCGTGAACCCGGGAGGCGGAGCTTGCAGTGAGCTGAGATCCGGCCACAGCACTCCAACCTGGGCGACAGAGCGAGACTCCGTCTCAAAAAAAAAAAAGAAAAGGCGAGGTCAGACCAGTTATGGGCATCATAAGAAAACAAAGTCTGGGTGTGGTAGTTCACATCCATGATCCCAGGACCTCGGAGGGCCAAGCTGGGAGGATCGTCTGAGCTCTGGAGTTTGAGCTTAGCCTGGGCAACATGAAACCCCACCTCTACAAAAAAATTAAAAATTAGCTGGGCATGGTGGTGCACACCTGTTGTCCCAGCTACTTAGGAGGCTGAGGCAGAGAATTACTATAATTGTGCCACTGCACCACCCCCTGGGCAAAAAAGTAAGACCCTATCTCCAAAAAAAAAAAAAAAGAAGAAGAAGAAGAAGAAAAAGAAAAAGAGTTGAGTAGTTAATGTTATCACAATTTTCAGAGCAAGGCAGTATGTGATGGTGGTTGAGGACACAGTCCTTAATCAGGTAGACTTGGGTTTGAGTCTTGGTTCAGCTACTTGTTACCTGGATAACCTTCCGCAAGTTACTCTCTAAGCTTCTGTTTTCCTAATATAAAGTAGAAATAATATTAGATTGGTGTAAAAGTCATTGCGGTTTTTCCCACTGAAAGCAATGGCAGAAACTGCAATTATTTTTGCACCAACCTGATAAATCCCAACTATTATTATTAGGCTTGCAGGAAAAGAATACTCTGGTGCTAGAAGCTAACACAAGCCCAAGGTAAGAGGTGCATTATTAACTAGCGGCAGCAAAGCTAATTATAATCAGGATAACATTTAAAGAGTCCTTACTCTGTGCTAGGTGCTGTGCTAAAATGCTTTACATGGATAATTTTATTTAATTGCCACAACGACCTCCATTTTGCAAATAAGGAAATTGAGGTAGAAAGTGATTAATTAACTTAAGGTCACACAGGTTGACCTGGAGTTTGAACTTAGGTAGTCAGAGTCTAGAGCCACTACTCTTAACCACCAAGGTCAGCTGCTCAAAGCCTGATGTAAGTGAAGCCCACTCACCATTCTCTTTGGCATTAGTGGGTAGGAAAGTGGGTGCGATGCGTTAATAATATGGAGAATTTCAACCTTCTTCCTTAACCAACTTCTTTCTGAACCTCTTCTCTCTCATGCCACCTCCTGGCCCCCAAATAAACAGGATTTTAGGACAGATGCTAACTCAGTGTTGACACATGACACTGTTAGAATGTTGACTGTCATGAGGAGTGAGGAAAACAAACAGGCATGGATAATCCACAAAATAACTAGTTCCAAAGACATTAAAAATCAGCAGACGTTGTATCATGGAAAAGGAAAAAAAAAAATGTTCCCCCTTTTCATGAAAAGAGTAGCAAGTGCAGAAAAGTGCATCAATTCCCAAAGAAGGAGAGACACAGAAAGAAAGTAAAGCCTTAGCAGGGGAAGATCCTATGTGGGTGTGTCTGAACACAGAGCTCACACAAAAATTCTAGAATAAATTTCCCCTTCCCATCTACTTACAAATACGCATGGGCCCATCAGAATGGAAATGACAATTTCTGGGAATATTTGTAGCTGATGTTAGACTTTCTCATTTCCTTCCAAAGCCCCAACTTTCCGTGGAAACCCAAGGGCATGTCCGTTACCTGTTTTTCCAACAGGACAGGGATTTGGAGGGTCTGGGTACCCCTGATCCTCACTGAAGTCCTTGGGGATGTTGTCTCCAGTCAACTCTGCCACGATGTTGGGGATGTTGCCAAAAGGACCCAAATGCTGAAGTCCCTCATGAGCTCCACCTGCAAGGGAATCAGAAGTAGTTCATTGCAGTGCAATTAAATTGATTTCAACTAATATTTCTTCAGGCATATCAAACAGGAGAAGCCCTGTGCCTTCTGCTGCGGGGAGAGAAACATAAATGAAGTGGTTCTTGCCCTCTAGGGGTTTAGAAATGTAGTTGCAGAAACAGAAGCATACTGTACACATATGATTTCCATGCAAGGCAAATTGTGTACTGTCCTGTAAAATAAATGTGAATACAGCATCACCAGAGCATGGGAGAGGGGCCAGGCGTGGTGGCTCACGCCTGTAACTGCAGCACTTTGGGAAGCCGAGGCAGGTGAATCACCTGAAGTCGGGAGTGCACGACCAGCCTGGCCAGCGTAATGAAAGCCCGTCTCTACTGAAAAAAAAAAAATTACAAAACTAGCAGGGCATGGTGGCAGGTGCCTGTAATCCCAGCTACTCAAGAGGCTGAGGCAGGAGAATCACTTGAACCCGAGAAGTAGAGGTTGCAGTGAGCCAAGATCATGCCACTGCACTCCAGCCTGAGCGACAGAGCAAAACTCTGTTTCAAAAAAAAGAGAGAGAGAGAGCGTGGGAAAGGGAGAGTTCCATTTGGCTGATGGGATGGGAGGGCTTCTTGGAAAAGCTGGAAATTGAGTGGCACCAACACAGGTAGGGCTCTGGAAGCTGGGCACGGAGCTTGGGCAGGACTTGGGGTAAGAAAGGAAGGCAAAAGCAGATATACAGGCTGAAAGCACATTATGAAAAAAGATAAAGTCACTGTTATCCTGCTATTTTAGCTCAGCCACTTAAAATTTGGTGTACTTACTCCAATTGTTGCTATGTATCTTTTTATACAAAGGATATATTCATTTTTATTTAATATTAAAGCACAAGCATCTTTCCATTTGGCTGCATGGTCTCTATTCCTGTAATTATAAATGGCTATGTAGTTTTTAGTCCAATGGCTGTACTACAGCATATTAACCACTCCCCTATTGTGAGACAATTAGTGTTTCCCAATTCATTTTAGACATTTAATGTTTTCCATATTTTGGATTAATTTTCCTCAGGATAGATTCCCAGAAGTCAAATTACTGGGTCAAAGGCTATAAAACATTTTGACGACTTTTGATATTGTATTGCCAAACTGTTTTCCAAAAAGGAGGTACCAATTTATAAGCCATCACCAGCAAACTATGAAGTACAACTTTTGCAACATTCTCACCAGCATTGGGTTTTATGAAAATCAATTTTTATATTTTCTTTGCTAATTCAAATGTTTTAAAATTACTGTTTTATTTTGAATGTCTTTGATTACCAGCTTGGTCAAATATCTTCCCATATGTTTACTAATTTTAATTTCTTTTATGTGAGCTGTTTGTTTATGCTCTTGGAATTTCAATGTTTTTCTTATCAATTTGTATGAACATTTTACATAATAAGATACAAGGCCTCTGGCTGTCGCCTTTTCTGCAAATATTTTCCCATGTTGTCTGACTCTGAATTCTGGTTACTATTATAGTATTTTGCTAACATACGTTTTTAATATTTATGTAGTCAGATTTCTCATTTTTATTCTCCTTTTTGATTTCTTCTTATCCTTCTAAATGCACAAAATCATTGCCCCTTCAGAAGTACTACTGACATTTGGATAATTCTTTCAATTTTTCCATTTGTGAGTTAACTCTTTAATCCATGTTATTTATTTTAGTGTATGTAAAATAGTTAACCAATTATCCCACCAGCATTTGCTAAATAATTCTGTCCTTTCCTACTTGTTTCATGTCTTTAGCAAATACTTAAGTGTCTCATACATACCAAAACCTACTCTGAGAACCAAAACACAGCAGTGAATTAAGAACAACTTATACTCCATAACTTGTTTTACCAAGTTACCAAGTTAACATATGAATGCATGTGAGTTTCTGGACTTTCTTTTCTTGTAGCCTTAACAATCTATAAGGCTCATGAAGCTTCCTTGTTCAGCACCACAGCAGATCATTTCTTGGCAGGATTTCATACTTACCGACTCCATGGGGACACAGGAGCCTCATACTCAGAGTTCCCTTAATGCACAATCATGGTGTACGCAGACCTATACAGGAGAGGCTGGTTTACAATCAAAAGGTGCCTTGGTGGGCATGAAATTTGAGCAAAATCAGGCAAAAATAACACCATGCTTCCATCTTCTCCCGAAGGAGGATCCTGCCACAGGCTGGATTAGTTAAGTCCAGTTGAATGAGGCCCCTTTGTCCCTGGATGAACACGAGCACTTGCCTTTGTTGTTTTGGCTGAACCAGCTCTTCCTTGGATTCACACTTTTTTTCCCCCCTTGGAAATGTTAATATATTCGTAGAATCATGACTAGATCTCAGTGCCCTGGGGATCATATTGTCTCCTTGAAGTGACATTGCATCACTCTGTCTTTGTGTGCTGTGTTGATTAAAGTTTAACCTTAAAAGGACAATCTTACCTCTGCTGACTCCTCTAGCCCCCAAATTCAGGCAAAATCAAGTGGTTGTTTGTTTTGTTTACATTTATATTATATTTCATTGCTTTGTGACGAGAATGATGAGAAGTATCTAGCCCAGATCTAGGTCACTGTTTTATAATGAGAGAAACTGTAAAATTTCTGCACTTCTTTTAAAAAAAATAG